TCGCGCGAGGGCTCGCGCGGTGGATGGAGCGACGACTCCCGGGCGCGTGCTTCTCCCAGGCGCGCGGGCTCGTCGGCGGGCTCGACGCGCGCGTGCAGCTGGAGATCCTGAGCGCGTGCGTGTGGGATGCACGGGATGGGTTGGGGTATTTACTCCACCTGGTGGAGCGCCTCGCGCCGGAGGCGGAGGCGCCGCTTTTGGCGCGCGCGGCGGATCGGATGGTGAAAGGGGTGGCCAACCGCATCGCGGCCGACGGGCAACTGCCCGAGGGTGGGACTTATCAAGACGTGATTTGGTCGTGGTATGCCCAGCACGTGGCGTATTGGCGGTTTGTTTTTCACCTCGCGAGGGCGTTACCCCCGTCGATTGGGGGTGCCCTGCGGGTGGAAATCTTGCGATCGAATCTGGATCACGCGGGAGGGCCTGACGACCTTTCCACCGAGGATTTGTGTGGCGCGCTCAACGACGAGTTCTGCGGGATGCTCGCCGGGGGCGCCGATCACACGACGTTGGAAACGATGCGAACTCTACTCCTTCGTCTGCTGCATCCGAGCGCGTCGTTCGGGATTGCGACCGGGGTCGAGCGGCTTCGCGCGCTCGTCCGTTGCGCGCTCGCCCTCCTCGAACGGCAATCCGCGGTGGATCCGAATCGGGTGAGCGCCGAGCAGCCCTTTTTGCCGTTATTTTGCTCGGCGGTCGCGCGTTTTAAAGAGGCGAGCGCGGTGCATTTGGTGGCGGAATTCTCCAGCCCCAGGGGGAATCCCAATGAAAATTCCGAGGAGGAAAAGGAAAGGATAGAGGCGGTTTTGGAGGATATTGCCACCCTGGGGAGGTGCGTGAATGCCGCCACGGTGGCCTCCTGCATGTCCAGTTGCCCGATGTGGATTCTATCGCTTAGCCAGGCGGTGGATGATCGTGATCGACGGGAGCGTATTAAGCGCGCGATTGTTATGAATTGACGCTTCTTCACTCATATCTGGAGTGCGACCACGCGTTCTAAGTTTAGCCGCCAAAATAGAAACGAAAGTGTAAAATAAAGTACTGATTAACTATCTAGGTAATGAAAAGTAAGGATTCAATCTATTCCTAGGGAAGGCTTGTCCTAACTTTGTATTTCCTTTTTTTTTCATGCTAGTAGTGGTATCTCTTTTTCTTGTTTCGACTCCACATCGTCTCCCTGGTATTCTGTTTAGAGTTTGTAAAAAAAAAAGAAATAGTCGCGTCTCAATCCCCGTATCCGCGTTTAGCTGCACTCTGAACCCAGTTGCGGAACACTGCACCAAGCATCAACCTCGATCCCTACTCGAGAGCCCCCTCCCCCTCCTCACCCCATCCTCGTTGGGGTGAAGTCCTGCTTGCTCATTTACCCTTCCCTCTTCCACCCACCCACCCACACGACTCCCACACGCGCCTCCTCTTCCTTCCCCCGTTTTCTCATTCCTACGGCCTCCCTCCTCCCGGGGTTGTGATTAGGATCCGTCGTTGGCGGCTTTTTTTTTCTTCACTTTGTTTGGGGGGGCCTCCGCCCCCCTCCCTCTCCCCCTCCCCTCTCCTCCCCTCTCCCTCTTTCTTTTTCTTTTTCTTTTTTTCTCGGATGCAAATCGCGGGCGTGGAGTCCTGCGACCCCCCTCCCTTCCCCGCTTCCGCGTCGTCGTCGCGTGGGGATGCCGTGGCGGGGGATCCGCCGTTTTTGTGGACGCGGCTCCCCCCGCGCGGGGACCCCCCGCCGCCGCTCTGCTGCCACTCCCTCGTGAGCTACCAGGATCGCTTTCTCGTCTGCTTCGGCGGCGGCAGCGGCGGCGGCGGCGACGGCGGGGGGTTCAATCGCGTCCACGTCCTCGACCTGGAAACCGGGGGGTGGGTGGAGGTTGCGGCGGGGAATGCCGCGGTGGTGCGGCCCCGCGTGAGCCACTCCGCCGTGATTTATCGCGATCGCATGATCGTCTATGGCGGGCACGCGCCGGATGGGCCCGGGTGCTTTCGCGACGTCCTCTCCCTCGATCTACGGCGTTGGGTGTGGACGCACGTGCAGGAGGCCGCGGGGGAACCTGGGGGGCCCGGGGCCCGCTACCTGCACGCCGCCCACGTGCATCGCGATCGGATGTACGTCTTGATGGGGCGCCCCACCGCGACGACGGCGATGTTTTGGTATCTCGACCTCCTGGATTATCGCTGGCGGGAGGTTCGGATGCCGCCGCCGTCGGCGGCCGGGGGGATCAAATTCCCCCTTGTCGGCCACGCCGCGGCGGTGGAAGGGCGGTTTCTCTACGTCTTTGGCGGGTATTATCATAAGGCGAGTTCGCACTACCCGTACGCGCCGGAATCGTACTCCGGTGGGGTCTATCGCTACGATTTTGAAAAGGACCTGTGGTGGCAGCCGTTTCTCGCGCATCCGGTGCAACCCCCTGGGCGGTATGCCTGCGCGATGGCGGTGAAGGCGGGTCGAGTGTTCATCTTTGGCGGGGATGCCCATAAATGCACGGTGTACTACGACGATTTTTGGGTCTTGGATACGACGGTGGCGCAGCCACGATGGCGGGAGGTGTGGCGAGGGGCCTCCGATCGTGGCCGGCCTTCGCCACGCAGCGGGGTCGCCTACACCGTCGCCCGGGATGCCCTCTACATCCTCGGTGGGGAGATCCCTTCGGGGGATTCGGAGCGGGTTCGCTACACGAATGAACTTTATCGATACCCGTTGGGGTTTTCTACGCAGATCTCGCTTGCGGAGAACACCGCCCGCTGGTTATCCACCATCCCTCTTCGAAGTGTTACGGCGAGCCTTTACTTTCCGCGCCTACCGCCCTCCGCCCTCCGTCTTCTCGATGGTTACATCCCTCGGTAGTCGTTCAGGGGGGTTTCCCTAATTGCGTTTTAGGGGGGGGGGGGGGGTTCCTGTTGCGGGGTGTCGATGCGAATCAAGGGAAGCTCATCGTGTGGGCACGCGTTGGAGCAAGAACAATAGGGCGGTGAGATTGAGAAAAAAAGAGACAGAGAAAAGCAAATAGACCGAAAGGTCTCCTCAATGGCTCAGGTATTACGGTTAGCGACTTGGAAAAAAAATATTTCACCGTATTATACTTTTTGTACCCTCTACTCACATTGCACATGACCATGTGAGGAGTGCATGGCGCGTTGCCCTTATAAACAAAGGTAGGTGGGCTTGGGCAAAAAAAAAAACATTGAATACGGTAGGATGCTTCAAGGGTAATGGAGGTTCTATTGCATGTAAGTATATATTGTATACATATCTTTCTGAATTGTGGAAAATATGTTCAATTTATTCTCGATTATTTCCCTTTTAATACACATATACACATACACACCAAAAAATACATATATTTATTAATGTTTGCTTAATGAAAATCTGCTCACGGTGTGTGGTGGCAAAATCAGAGGATTATATGCGTACTACTCAACAATAAACAGGTGTTCTGGGAGAAGGAATAGGGGAAAATATAAATTGTGCGGTGTTACGCATTTGAGCGATACAGTCATAACTTGCTGTTGTTGTTGTTTTTCCCATCGACTTCCAAGAGAAGTACATACTGGGGATTTCCAGATAATTGTTTCATGTGTGCTTTCCCGAATTTGTATCCTGCATTAGATCGCCACGCAGCGCATTAGAAATCGTGTGATACACCTTTGCTCCTTTTCAGTTTTCTCCACTTTGAAGATGTGTTCATGTGTTGCTGGTGTTGGTGCTGGTGATATAGAATTGTAATTACTATGCTGAGAAATGCTAATACAAAGTCATACCCAGTACTTTCACATTTCATTATAAACAGAAAGCTGCGTTTGTGGCGTGTTCCATGTCCCGCAGAGCATTTCAGATTATTGGGGTCCATGTTAATATACTTCAAGCTCAGTTGTAAAGTGGATTGAATCGAATATAGCCATGCGTGCACTTTGGTACGTTTGTGTGCTTGTTTTCTCCTTCATTTGGTCATGCCCTAAACACGTTCAAACAACACCACCTGCTTCACCTTTAAAGAACACATAATAGTACATTGGAATATATATATATATATATATATGTTTGCCACGTCTATGGGTGTGCATTAAAATACTCCATAAAGTTGATCCGATAGGTCGTCCTGCCATTTTCCCGGAGTCCCGCGATACGCAATCCCACGGCATCCTCGTTCGACTTCCACGATCTTGCAACGCGAGGTTTGGAAAGGATACCACATACACCCACCCATTCAAAGCGCTCATTCTTGCTCGACCGGATGCCCCGCGTGCTCACCGCGTTGGTTTCACGCGCCACTCAACTGACAACCGGACCGGGCTCGACCTCGCCCGCTGCGATCCCCATCATCTCCTCGCTCGCCTCGGCCCTTTGCCTGCTCGCATCGCGGAGTGCCGCCGCGAATTGCCTACCTCCGGAATCGTTCATCGGGGCTGCCCAAACCGCCTGTCAAACCTTCCTCAGTTCGATGGAGGACCTCCCGTTGGGGACGCGTCTGCCTTCCGAGGTCCTCATCCACACCCTTCGCTGTGGACGACGGGGGCGGGCATTTCTGCCGACGGCGACCCTTTTGTTTCCGTTATTGCGGCAGGCCGAGGCGCGTTTCGACGTGGCGGAACTCCCCCAATGGCCTCCACGGGATCTCCTCGCCGCCCTCGAGGCCCTCGCGAGGGTGAACCCCCCATTTACCCCGGCGTTTCTCCCCTCCCTCCTGCGTTGTCTTCGACGGCACCGCGCGGGGGTTTCCGGCAAGGACGCCGCCCGACTCCGCGGATCCCTCGCGATGCTTGGGAGG